CTTGCTTGTTACTAAAGAAACAAGTCCCATTTTTTTCCATTTGGCACCTGTCATGTTGAATCCATACAGTTTGACTTGGTTGCCTCCTTACTTTTTACTGTTATTTTGTCATTGCCTTGATTAATAATTTACTATCCTCTTACATGTTGGTCTAAAGGAACAGTGTCCTTGACACCCCCTTTTGTGGACAGAATTGTCTATGCAGGTCCTCTCGGATAGCACACATCAAAACTATATAAGATGTCAATAAATACAGTCTTGATGGGGGGGCAGAGCCTATCTGGGAACCTGGACAGTCACATGTTCCATGAGATCCGTATAATGCTGCCGTAAAGGGTTGAATTTGGAAAGAAAGCACCCACATAATTTTGCTGGAGATGCTCCCTAGGCTTGAGGCTACACCATGAGACATAAAAATATGACAAGAGGCCGCTGAGCCTAAATATCAGCGAACTATTCAGGAGTTCACAAAAGGCAGCATGGGACAATATGGCGCTCGTAGACAAGGGCTCTTCCTACTTCTCAGAGGATATGGCTTTTGCTGCATTTGAGGGTGCCTCGCACACCATGAAACAGGGAATTCCTTCTCCGGCAGACGAGGACTGTGACCTAGTCACAACGGCTCAACTTAAGGCGATGTTGGCTGGACTCCATGAGAACATAGTGGGTGACCTGGCCACCTTTAAGAAAGCCATTGAACGCACGGCCATTAAACTGGTCCAACCTGAAGCCACCCATAGCACTCACGAAAGCCAGCTTACAGCAGTAGAGAAAAGTCTGGCTGCCCTGAACCAACACCAACTAAGGACTGAAAGCAGGATCGATGCCCTGGAAGATCAGCGGCGCAGGTATAACCTGAAGCTTAGGGGGGTATAGGAATCGGTGGGATTGCCAGACCTACCTCACTCCATCAGATGGCTCTTTGTGGCCTACTTACCACCGAAACACACCAAGGCCATGTTCCGTTTCCTAACACCACCTGGGGCACCACCTTCCGCAGCTCTGAACCTGATGCTCTGCTTTAGTTCCCTGCAGGACAAAGCCCTCCTACAAACAGCTGTGAGAGGGAAGACTACACTTACCTTTGAAGATGCCTCACTACTCCTTTACCCGGATCTCACGAGAAATATTCTCTTGTGGCTCCGGTCCTTATGACCATTACTCTAACTGTTACGTGCAAAAGAGGTGCCATACCGCCTACCCCGTACAGTCCTAATCACATCTCAAGGCACTACTTACTGTGCAGAAACCTATCAGGAGCTAGAAGAACATCTGAAGAAGCTGGGAATCAACCCGCAGACCACTGATGAGAGAAGGAGCCTGTCCAATGTAGACTTGGCTAGGATATGGGTAGTATAACACCGCGGGCAGCACAGCACACCTTGCTTACCAGCGCCGCAACATAACTGGAAGCCAATCGAGCCACAGAAGCTGATGTCCCCACCACCGAGATCCATACAAGATTATACAACCAAGGACTTCTCCAGTGCTACTGTTATATCGTTGATATAATTTTATTGTTGCTTTCTTTACTTTATTGTATTCTACTATATCTTTACTCTTTTCATGATCTCCCTGTAGGTTATAATGTGGGGCAGTGCCATTATGCAATACCAACGCTATAAGTACATTCAGCAGGGGCTTCTATCCAGGCCCAAACCCAACACCAGAATATTAACTGTGCAATATCTGTACAGGTTGCCAACCAAGTAAATGGTTTAAGATGATAAGTGGTGAATCTCCACCCCCCCACCCCTTCCCATACTTTTGACGATCAGGCCATAAAACCTACTGTTTCTCTCTGGGAAGGAAACACCCACCACAGACACAGTTAATGCTTGTTTTAAGCATGAATCCTAAAACCCAATGGTAATCCCACTCTCAGGTTTCTCAGACAGGCACTCTACTATAACAAAAACCCTCACCTCACATACATACTTAGGCACTAAGCACAATAGCTCTTTCCTTCTCTTGCTATTAAATGCACACAATGTTGAGCACTTATTATTGCATTAATCTTGGCCATGTTATATGCTCATATATGTTTTCATCAAATGTGAACTGAGAAAAATAAAGAATTAAAATAAAGAATAATAATAAAAAAAAATATATATATATATATATATATATATATATATATATATATATTGTGACGGACCCGCTGGCACTCCGACCGAGTACCTCCGCCAATGGATGCTCCTAGTGCTTGCCGAGGATTTCAAGCACTCCAACTGACACCATCAGCACTGCAGACTTATCCCATCCCCCAAGCATGAGCCAAGGCTTCAAGAAAGGGTCAAGCAGGTCTGTTTTAATGAGCACACAAAGCAACAGCCCTCATGCAGCAAAACTCCTCCTCCTCAGAGGAAAACAAACTGACTGTTAAAGACAGACAGCGTTTGAAAATATGACAGTTATTAACTGCTGTGAATTGGGTACCCCGATCTGAGATAATCTCTTTGGGGAACCCCATTCTGGAGAATATCCGGATTAGGGCATCTACTATAGTCTCCGCATGGATATTAGTTAGGGCTACGGCCTCTGGGTACCGGGTGGCATAGTCTACTACGGTTAGTATATACTTCTTCCCTGACAGGCTGGGTTTTGCTAGGGGTCCGATTATATCTACTGCCACTCTACTGAAGGGTTCATCTATTATGGGTAGGGAGTGCATTTTTGCCTTGTACCGGTCCCCTCTCTTCCCAACTCTCTGGCATGTGTCACAAGTTTGGCAATACTGCCGAATATCTTTGGAGACCCCTGGCCAAAAGAAGTTTTGGGTCAAACGATGCTTCGTCCTACTGACGCCTAGATGTCCTGATAAAGGGATGTCATGGGCAATACGTAGTAATTCTTGCCTGTACTTTCGGGGCACGACTAATTGTGTGAGGGTCATGGGTACAGATCCTGCTACTACCTTCTTAGCATATCTATACAATAATCCTTTCTCCCAAGCGTATCTTTCCCCCTCCAACCCTGCCTGATTCTGTGTAACCCTATACCTGCAGGGACGGGTTGCTGACTACTTCAGTACTGTTACTTACCGGAGCCTCAGAGTGTTCAGAAGATGCGGTGGTGCGGGCCTGCTGCCGTGTTACCACGGGTAGCGCTTCCTGCGCGGGGTGCTGAGAAACAAAAGCAGAGGTCAGCTCCCCCAAGTCGTTACCCAGGATGACATCAGCTGGTAAGTCCTGCATGAGGCCCACTTCCACATTCCCCGACCCCGCTCCCCAATCCAAATGTACTTTAGCAGTGGGAATTTAGTAAATCGCTCCCCCTGCCACCCGGACTGCCACATATTCTCCAGTGAGCTGGTGCTTGGGGACTAGGTGATTGCGAACCAGGGTTATGGTGGCCCCAGAATCGTGCAGATCCCGAAGGCGTTTTCCCTCTATGTGTACCCCTTGGCGGTGTCCCTGTCGGTTGTCTGCAGCTGCTTGTACTGGGTTAACCTCGTGGAGGGTGCCCAAAGATTCTTCATTAGACCGGGTCCCGAAGAAAGGTTGTCGAGGCTCACTCTGGTAGCAGTGTACTGCTGCCCGGTTTGCAGGGGAATTAGTTGGAGTATTCCACGTGGAGCGGTTTCTGTTTCTGGGACAGTCTCTCTGCATGTGGCCCTGCTGGTTACACGTGTGGCACCTGATGAAAGATCGGGCATTGTTGTACCGTGGAGGGGTTTGGTAGTTCCCACCACCCGGACGCAGTGCTGGGGTGGGGTTAATGGTGGGAGGTGGGTTAGCAGCTCCCAAGATGGACCATGCCTGTGCCCGCTGTGCCCTCCTGGCATCTTGGTACTCGTCTGCCCACCTGGCGGCGTCAGTTAAGATGCGCGGTTTCCGATCCCTCAGCCAGTTTTGTAAATCCGGGGTTAACCCCTGGAAGAATTGCTCCAGTAGCAGTAATTGTAGCATGTCCTCCACTGTGGTTGCTTGTGCGGCTTGCACCCAACCTTTGCCCGCCCTAGTTAAGCGGTGTGCCCACTCCATGTGAGTATCTTTCTCCGTCTTTCGGCTTTCTCGGAACCGCTGCCGGTATGCCTCCGGGGTAATTGCATACCTGTCCAGGATCGCCTGCTTTACTTTCTGGTAGTCTCTGCTATCCTCGTCTGGCATGGTGCGGTAGGCTTCTGCTGCCCGGCCCGCTAGCTTACCCACCAACAGGGGTACCTGGTCGGCGGCGTTGATCTCATGTAATTGGCATAACCTCTCAAAGTCATGCAAGTAGCCATCGATGTCTTCGGTCTCCACATAGTTTTTAAAAGCATGGTACGGGATTTTAGGCTTCCCCGGTACTATGTGTGGTGTGATTAGGAACCCCTCTCTGGACCTCCGCTGCTTTTCCATTATGTATTCATGGACATCTGCCATAATCCTTTCCGAGGTTTCTGTGGGAGGCGTACCTGGGAAAAAGGCCAGTCTGCTTTGGAGTTCTCTTCCAAACTCCGTTTGTGTGCTGTCCATAAGAGGTGCTGCAGCAGCTGCCCGGTCTCCCTCCATGAGTTCAGCAATAAGGGTAGCTTTGGTTTTATTGCTGGCAATAATTCCCCTTGCTTCCAATAGTTCTTTTAGCGTGGCCCGTTTCAAGTTGGTATAGTCTGTCCCCATTCACTATCCGTTCGGGTATATTCACATACCCTTTCCTTTCGGTTCCATACGAAATAGCAAATTTCCCAAATGGCTGTAACTGCCGAACAACGGTCTGCTGTGAGGTTTGAATCCCGTCGCTGCCACCAATTGTGACGGACCCGCTGGCACTCCGACCGAGTACCTCCGCCAATCGATGCTCCTAGTGCTTGCCGAGGACTTCAAGCACTCCAACCGACACCATCAGCACTGCAGACTTATCCCATCCCCCAAGCATGAGCCAAGGCTTCAAGAAAGGGTCAAGCAGGTCTGTTTTAATGAGCACACAAAGCAACAGCCCTCATGCAGCAAAACAACTCCTCCTCAGAGGAAAACAAACTGACTGTTAAAGACAGACAGCGTTTGAAAATATGACAGTTATTAAGGGTTTTTAACCCCTTAAGGACTGGACTGTTTTTGCGATGTTGTACATTTGCTACCAGGCATATTTTTACACTTTTGTGGTGTTTGTGTTTGGCTGTAATTTTCCGCTTTCTCATTTACTGTTCCCATACAAATTATATATTGTTTTTTTCAGGACAAAATGGGCTTTCTTTACATACCATTATTTATATAATCTCATGTATTTTAATTTAAAAAAAATAAAAAATATGATGAAAAATTGAAAAAAATACATGTTTTTTGACTTTTACTTGAAAAATCTTTTACTCATCTACAAAAGCGAATGAAAAAAACTGCTAAATAGATTCAAAATTTTGTCCTGAGTTTAAAAATACCTAGTGTTTACGTGCTTTTTTGCTTTTTTTTGCATGTTATAGGGCTATAGGTACAAGTAGGATATTGCGGTTTCAAAACATACATTTTTAAAATTTATCAATAGTGACATTGTAACACTATTATCTGTCATAAATCTCTGAATAACACCCCACATGTACATATTTTTTTTAAAGTAGACAACCCAGGGTATTCAATATGGGGTATGTCCAGTCTTTTTTAGTAGCCACTTAGTCGAAAACACTGGCCAAAGTAAGCATTCATATTTGTTTGTGTGTGAAAAAAGTAAAAAAACTAAATTGAACGCTAATTTTGGCCAGTGTTTGTGACCAAGTGGTTACTAAAAAAGACTGGACATACCCCATTTGCAATACCTTGGGTTGTCTTCTTTTGCAAATGGTATGCCATCATGGGGGTAATTCTCATTCCTGGGCTACCATACGCTCTCAAAGGCAACGTAACCAACCTGGCCATTTTCAATGTAAAAATATTTGACCCATATATTTGACCTTGTAACTT